CCCCAAAACCCCAAAACCCCAAAACCCCAAAACCCCGGTGAATAATTAACAGTTGAATTTAATTGCTCTCTTCAATACTTTTCCTTTATAAAACTCCAAATCTCAAACTTCAATGTTTTGGACTCCCTTCAAAACATCTTATTCAACTCTATTAAACTCTCGAAATCAAAGAAACCTTCTAAAAACTTCGTTTAACCTTAATTTTGGATAAAACAATTTAGATGGAGAATTTAGGACGTTTTGGCATTTTAGAGCCTCATTTTTGTTCTGTTTTGAATGATCAAAAATTAGGATTTTGAAGAAGCCTTAGGGTCATGGACAAAGGACAAATTTGCATTGAGATATTAGTGCAAGCAAAAAGATTTATGAAAAATATTTAGAAAAGACTTTAAAGAAAGATAGCGAAAATTTACTTGAGAAAATCTGAGTGTTGAAATTAAAATTCTTTGAACTTAATATCCTCCAGTTCCCATTTCTCTGTGGTTGAGTTTTTTTTAAAGTAAATCTCTCCATACTGCCCAAGGAAGAATGCATTAGAGTTTATAACTGGAATAGAGTGCACCTCAGTGTTCTTGGCTGACTCATGGCTATGTCCATGAATATTGCATAATATCTTGCCTTCTTGATCTTTCATACAATCTTCTATAGATTCAGAACCCATATGAATTTCATTATCACAAAACTCTCTATCTATTGTTGATTCTGAACTTCTAGGACCAATATGAGTCATCAAGATTGTCTGGAAATCCTCTTCCTCTTGTTGCTTCTTTAGGTTTTTGATAAGAGCATTAAGGCAGGTTGAGAATTCCTCTTCATCTTTGTAAGGATATGGTTCCCAGATTGTATCTACATCTTTTCCATCTTCAACGATAATATTATCTTTGGAGCCACCAAAGCCAGCTATTTTGAGACCTTTACAAACTTCCACAATTCTACCATGGATATTCTCTCAATTTTCCTTTAGTTGAAACTGAATTGTCTGCATATCTGGCTCCAAATTTATCAAGCTTGGTCGAGGAGTATCATCACAGCAGAACAAATCTGGAGGATCATGGTTCCCAGGAATATAATACACATTTGGACATATAGAATGAGCGTAAGTCAGAATAGATGTGATCTCTTGCAATGCTTTAGTGCAAATCATTGGATCTTCCCAATCTTTCATCATATAGCTCTGCATGTCACCTGATATCAAAATGATATCATAGTATATAGATTCTATAATTGAATACTAGAACTCTACCTTCTTTAACTTTCTCCTTGAACTGGAGCATTTTATCCATGCCATGCTTATCGGTGTGCAAATCAGCTATGGATCATGACAAAAGGCTTACTAATATGAAGAATTTTGAGCTCAGTTTTATCCTTTAAGTTCTCACCTACCAATAATTTCTCTGATGATTCCATTACACTATAATTTATCAATTAAATTTATTGAAAAAGGGGTTTTGGGGTTTTGGGGTTTTGGGGTTTTGGGG